GTCCGGCCAGCTAAGACAAGACTGTGGGGGGGCCGGCCAAGTTATCCATTCAGTCGTTGATTATTTCTATTTCAGCATTAGGCACGTGTCCCTCTGCATCCCGATTGGCTGCATCTAATGTTGTATTCAATAATGATGGATCAGGATACCTCACATCCACTTGATGTCGCGCATAACCAAGAAACCATATCACACTGGTTACATGGGCGCACGCACCTAAAGTCCTTGCTCCAGACTGACATGTACAATAATATCCAGTAATTGGATCAGCATCATCAGCGTTTTCAATACCTTCGTCATCAGCAACTCGAAATAATATGAATATTTGGTGTCTTCCAGCATTTCGAAACCTAGAGTACACTCTGATCCTCAAAAAACCCGCTTCATTTAAATGTTTATCTAGTTGAAATTCTTCATCATTGTCTCTCAAAACTTTATCTTGTATGTAAGATGGTGCAAGATTGATTTGGTATACACCAAGCGTCAAATGTCTTAAGTATTCTAAATCCAGGAGCGGAAACTCTGGTATATCTCTATGATTCAGTCTTCTCCATTGTGCATTCCTTCTTGTGAGATTGTCTACCTCCACCCTTGCTTGCACAGCATTTGGGATACGTGATCTCTCCAAGATTTCTTGTGCCGCCTGTGCAGTTGCACCTTCCATGTGAATCATAGGATGATACCTGTTCAATATTGCACCAGCGATACGATAAAACTCATCGAGGTTTTTTGCATGCTGTAAGCATAGTGTGTTAGCAAAAAACTTGAACACCGACCGAAAATGACCGTTTCTACTTTCTACTATCCAACGACTCTTAGTGACAATACGAGATGCATTTGCATCTTCGGTCGTTAGTTGCCGCTGTCCAGCCCCAAGTAATGCTGGCATTTCATATTGGATGCCCAACAGCTGTAAAAGAGGTATAGCATCACGATAACCCCTATCGACCAAAACTATATCGTTACGTTGAAACCATTCTTTCAGTGCATTTCCATCTGTTTCAAAATCATGCCTAAGTATTTCTGCATCGTTGTTACGAGAATCTGAAAAATATGGCCCAAAAATCTGTAGAATGAAGCCATCAGGAGCAACAACTAGAGTGGGTTTTAGGAGATGCCTGTGTTTGTGGACGGAATAAGATTGCCTTAATACACGAAAATGTGAACTCTTATGTATGTATGCATAAGTAGAGTCGATTACAACAATGGCTTTCGGTTCGTTCGGTTGAGGATTGTACAAGATATTAGAAAACTCCGTGACGTGTCGAGCAATGAAATCTTGCCTTGTTATCGATCTAGGCCCAATATTCTCTGAAACAAATCTTTGTGCTAATGCTCTTCTAACATAGTCTATAACGGTACTTACATTTTGTTTACTACCGTAATCGAATATGACTTTAAGAAACTCATCACTCAAGCCTTGTCTGAGTTTGCATAGAAACATCAATAAATCTTTTCTCCTTATATATCGGTGTCTACCGTTTTGGAGAACTGGGTCACAATACGTTAACAAATCCTGGAATTGTTGTTTTGTTATCGGTGCGATGCATTGAAATTCTTCATCGTTTAAACTATTTTCGTCAATAAACTTAGCTTTAGCTACAGCGACGTGTCTAAGTTGATTAAAAAATGCGGACATTTGTGGTCCTCTTATGATAATCGGCCTATTAATGTAACCAAGACCAGCTATTAGAATATTTAATAAATATCCATTTGCATCTAAATGATGCCTGCATGATCTTACATTTTCAGGTACAAAAATATTTCTTTCTATGAAAACATTCACCCTACAAGCTAATAATCTCTGCAAATCATTTGCAGCATCACAAATGACACAAGTTTGACTCGCTGTTTGTCTCAACACATTTAATCGAAGACAGGTTGGATCGGCTTCGATTATTGCTATTTCGTTTAGAATAGATACATTGCAGTTAAAGCACAACCTAGATTCATCATTCATACGTAAACATGGATGATTAAGCTCATCTCGTCTTGTGATAGCTATTTGTCGTTTAAGGATATTCTCATCACCATTTATGTGAACCAGGTTTCGTGCATTGAATGCTGTATTGCATGAAAAACAATGTATTCGTGGAGGTCTGCCAGCCATTTTTTTTTTACTCGCCAATAACTAAGAATAACTAAGAATCTTGCGATGGAAAACAGAATATGATACTTGGACCAATTCACAAGATGGATTATATGTAGAATTGGTACAAACACTACAAACACGAATTCATTAAAAAATGATCGATAAAAAGGATCGGGAAACGAAATAATGACTCATAAACTCTCGGGAAAACTTTTGTAGTCAAACATTTGAACGCATAATAAGGGATAACTGTTGACTGAAACTTATAGAAAAAAAATATTATAACGTTAAAAGTTAAAACGTTAACAATAAATCGTTATAGAATTAAATCACATCGATGTGCAAGATCTCGAGCTCAACAAAAATCTACAATGACAACATGGGATCACCATTGGAAAGGTCGGTTCAAAATGTGCAGGGTCCCAAATAGGCTCATGGATCTAAGAAGATATGGATGGAGCGTAAACTTGCGGGGGGACTGATAAGCGCAGTAAGCAGTCCATCCGCTCGGCTATTTCCGTAGGTACGGTTCGGATATGCTCGACAGCAGCACACACGGACGTAATCTTCGCTTTTGTGTGCG